TCGCGGGGGTGGTGATTAAGGCTATGGAATATAGGGGGCATAGCATGCATTAGACTCCATTACAAAGCCAAAACAACTGAGGCTTTATATTCTGATGATGAGGAAGAAATGCTAGTCTGACTACACAGAGGATGTGGCAATGCCCAGTCCTGGGGAGCCTCACCTTCTCCCCAAAAAGTAGATTCCTCACTGTAGCTCACTATCTCCCCAGTCAGTTGTCAAGGTTTAATGAAATCTTTGGTCTCGCAAGAATTTTCTGAACTTGCTTTATCTAAATCAGATCACATTAAGAGCCAAAAGAGGTGCTGTCCGTAATTATGTCAGAACGATACTCATAAACCAGGACACTCACTTCTGGGCAGACAGGGTTACACGCTTCTATCCGCACTTCTCTATATGCACACATATGATCTATATCTATATGCTCTATCCATTTATAACTATATCCCCAACTACACGTGTATCTGAATCAAGAGCTCTGTTGATATCTACATTTCTATCTACAACTGTATCTAAGCTTTATGCATCCTGATTCACAACCACACGGACATCTGTTATTTATGGATGCTGTTCTTAGAACAAACATCTCAGAGGGCCTCAAACTCGCTATAATTCTTACTTTCTCTTTCCTTCCATTTCTCCCTTTCTCACCCCTTTCTTAAAAGGACACTCTTTCCTGAGAGTCATTCCTTCAAGTTCCAGTTTCTCTCTTCCCGTCTGTCTCACTTCCTCTACTTACATGGTAATAACAGGAAACTGACAAACTCTTCCTCTACATCTCCCATGTTTCGTAAACAATATTTGCTGTTGCTCAAACACATATATTTCCTGTTTTTCTGACAATAGTAACAAAAGTTGTCCTTTTCTAATGCAGAGTTGGGTGTATCTGACCAGGTACAGGAGTAGACATTTGGAAAAACATTTGATGAATCTGAGTCTCACTTTTCTCATCCAGAAATAGGATCAATATTTCATTAATTAAATAAGGGAAAATGCAATGGGGCAGCTGCCAGTCCTGGGGAGGAGAACCTGAAACTATTTCTTGGCTCTACCCAAGATCCAGGGTATGCACTGAACGTGTGTGTTCCTCTAAAATCCATTTGTTCAAACCCTAATCCCCAGAATGATGGTATTTGGAGGTGGGGCTATTGGGGGGAGGGTGGTAATTAGGCCACGAGGGTAGAGCCCGCATGATAAAATTAGGGAACTTCTAAGAAGAGATCTAGAGATATGATCCCTCTCTGTGTGTGTCATGTCAAGGTACAGAGAAAAGACAACCACCTCAAGCCAAGAAGAGGGCCCTCACCAAGAATCCAGGCTTGCTAGCACACTGATTGTTGATTTCTCAGACTCTACAACTGTTGAGAAATAAAGTTCTGTATTTCAGCCACCCACTCTTTCAGAGTTTATTATAAACCCCCAAAAGACTAAGACAACCAGCCATCAGGATTTTTTACCGTTCCTGACCCTATTTCAAAGTGCAGCGAACACTGATAACCAGTGGTCTACTGTCTATATAATGTTATATAAGTGTTCATTAATATGTGCGTAATGGCATTAATTTTTTTATCCTATGCATTACCAGCTTTTTTATAAAATTTAAGGTATTGATTCCACTCTAAATAATTGGGGATGGGAAAAGGAACACTAAATTTGAACACATTTAACTACAGTGGGCTGTGTTCTGAAGGACTCATCAAGATAGAATTAGCTCATTATTGAGCTAGAAGACTCTAACTTTGAACATGGGAAGCCTGGATCTTCCCATAGCTTCATTAATAACTTGAAAGTAGTTGTACCACCATCAAAACCAATTGTATGATTTGGGATATCATTTGGATCCTATGACAAGATAAAAAAAGGAGACATCTAACATCTTTCAAAGAGAATATGTAAAAGAGTAAGAAATTAAATGCAAAGGTGCTAATTACTAGCCACAGCTTAATTTTCAAATTGTTCTTTTAACGTACAAAACTAATGAGCAGAGATATACTCCACACTGCAAACCAGAGGTCGACAGAAACTTGAGTAATTAGAGTATTGCTCTGTAATGGAGGGAACTCAGTAGATAAGGGAAAAACCCCACCGGAATGATTCTCATTTATAAAACCCACTAGGGATAAAGAACAAACACCTTTGAAATCAGGTACTTGTTCTTCACATCTGAAAACAATGAGTCTGAGAGAGCTATGGAAACTTAACTTTTCCAGTAAAAAAATCCTACAGATTCAGTGGCTCCATAGGTTGAGAGGCCAACTCTTGATTTCTGCTCATGTCATGATCTTGGGGTTCTGAGATTGAGCCTGGTATTCGGCTCTGGGCTCAGCAGGGAGTCTGCCTGAGATCCTCACCCTCTCCCAGCTTGGGCGCATGAGCATGCGCACCCACGTGCACGCTCTGTATTTCTCTCTCGAGTAAATAAATAAAATCTTAAAAAAAAAAACCCTATCTTACAGATTGGGAAAAGTGACACGGGTGACATTTGTTTTTAATGTTGCTATTTAGTGATCAGTGCAGGTTTCTCTATGAAGTTGCTGATTTACTCTTAACAGGTTTTAACAGCTGGCAGTAGGCCAGGGTAAATGTTACATTCACACGTGGCCTTGCCCTTAAAAATGTCAAGGACACGAAGCAAAATGCACGTGGCTCAAGTTAGCTGGGATTTTATGACCAACAGGCCTTGGTTTGTGTTTCCATCTAATTAACTGGTTTGGAAAGCACAGGAGCCCAAATCCGACGAGGAAACAGAAAAATCCATTTTCCTTGGTAAAGTCTAAGATATACCTCCATAAATTTATAATCTGAATCTTTTAGAAAGTACATTTCTTTGGCAGAAATTCTTTTTGTTTTGAGTCAAAGCATCTAGGCAAGCTGAACTGAGCCAATTACATGAATTCATAATGATGTTACAAAATAGACAGCACAATGTAATCTGACAAAATATCATCTTTTCAGCAATATAAAGCACTTGGGTAAACTATGAAATGAACAACTCAGAGTCTAGGGTATAAGCAGAATTGTTGGTCTTTCTTCCAGTCTTTGTGCTTTCTGGGAGATTCTACTCCCATGGCCAATTCCAGTGCAGTTCCTATGGTAGGGCACCCTCAAGAAAGCCTTGAAGAGCCAAAGGACCACTGCCCACAGGCTCCCTGTAGTGGGTCAGGGTCACGGACAACTTGAAACTTCCCAGAAGGCCAGGCCCTCAAGAATGAATTGTACTCTGAAGAGAGCTGCTCTCCCCTTTGCAGGAAATTCAAGAAAGAGGGGAGACTTGGGCCGCAAAGACTGAAATCTGACCATAACGTTCATATGTTTCTTGCATAGATAGCCTCCCATAATCACCTGGAGGTGCTGGGCTGTGCAAAGATCAAATCCCCAAAAACAATCGTTTAAGAAAGATTTTTTATCTTTATAAACATGATTCCCCCACCTCACCGTGACCCTGTCTGCTCATCAGTCCACAGTAAGATTGACAAGAACAAAGAAATGCTGCCTGTAGTCTGAAAAATGCTTCTGTTGGCATCCAGTCTCAACTCAATTTTTTCGGTTAGGATCAAACATGCTTACTGATCTAAAATGTATTTTTTCTAAGATTTTATTTATTTATTTGAGAGAGAGAGAGAGAGAGAGAGTGCATAAGCAGGGGGAGCAGCAGAGGGAGAGGAAGAAGCAGGATCCCTGCTGAGCAGGGAGCCCAACATGGGGATGGGTCCCAGGACCCTGGCATCATGACCTGAGCCGAAGACAGATGTTTAACCAACTGAGCTACCCAGGTGCCCCTAAAATTTATTTTAAATATTCTCATTCTTAAGAATGCTGCACATAGCTTGTAAAAGAAAGCAGGATGGGCCCTTGTTTTTTGATAAGTGCAATAGGAAAACTTATCTCATACAGTTGCAAAATACCAGAGAACTACGGCTACTGATTGCTCCAAAATTCTTTGGTGGTTCCCTCCAAAAGGTAAACATAGAATTATCTTATGATCCAGTGAGTACAATGCTAGGATATATCCACAAGAATTGCAAGCAGGGACCCATACAGATACTTAGGAAGCACTAGCCACAGCAGCATTATTCCTAAGATCCAAAAAGTGCAGACGACCCACATTTCCAATGACAGAAGAATGGTTAAACAAACAAGGTTATCCGTAAAATGGATTGTGTACAACGGAACATTATTCAGTCCTGAAAAGGAATGAAATTGTTATATATTCCATGCCATGGAAGAAACATTGAAGACATTACACTAAGTGAAACGAGCTATACACAGAAAAACAAATACTTTATGATTTCACTTATACGAGATATCTACAATAGGCAGATTCATAGAGAAAGAAAGTAAAATAGAGCTTACCAGAGGGAGGAGGGGGAATGGGAAGTTATTTTTTAATGAGTACAGAGTTTCTGTTGGGCATGATGATGATAAAGTTCTAGAAATGGACAGTGGCTAATGGCTGTACAATGTTCTGAATGTACTTAAATGTCACAGAATTGTACACCCCAGAATGTTAAAATTTTTTAAAAATTTACCTTTATGCTATATATATTTTAGCGCATTAAAAAAAAAAAAAGTCCAAAATCTTAGGCAGTGTCAGAGAGAGGAACACATATAATTCTGTTAGCTCATGTTTTTCATTACAAATAACCCAGTAACATTTCTATCTTGACCAATTCTACAAAGCAATGGAAATTGTTAAACTTTAGTTCTAGCCTCAGACAGTGGGTACAACTGGCCTTGGATATACTAAAGAACACTTTCACTCTTTCCCAGAATGACCTTACTGTCCCGACAATTATCAGCCTAACATGGCAGATGACCAACTATGAAGCAACTGCATGTCACAAGACATAGAAGACAGAGAAGATTAAGCAGCTTGACTGATGGCCTCCAAATGTCTATGAGTCCCAAATGGAGGCACGCTAATTCTGAGTGAAGGCTGGAAGTAGAGACAAAGAACAGGTAGAAGATTCCACACAGTTCAAGCCATCAGTTCTACCTACTTGATGAAGCAGTCTCGGCCATCCCGGTTTGCAGTCATCTCCCATCCATAGGGTGGCACCTGGTTCAAGCCCCAGGTGCCCGAGGGAGGTGGCCAGCCAGAAGACTTCGTCCTGTGGCTGGGGAAAAAAAAAAAGAGAGAGAGAGAGAAAAAGAAAAGCATCATTACACCTGACTCCTAAACATTTCTTCTGAGACAAACACCAGAAGGAGCATGGGATTTGCTCCTCTCAACCGTGGGCTACATGCTCAGCTGATTAAATGAATAAATACAATGAGTGATTTTACAGTAGGTACCATGCTCATTAGTTCTCCTTACACTATCTTCCTTCCTGAGGTAAGCACATATATTCCTTTACACATATTCCATTTTACAGATGAGGAAACAACGAATGGCTCAGAAAGATTAAGTAACATTGTTCAGGACACGTTATCCATTTTAAACAAAATTTTTGCACAAATTTTGCAATGGCATCATTGCACTACGCTTCCTGACCCCAGACATCAGGAAGTGTGGCAGATAGGTATTGCATGCCATATCAACACATATATGTAAACATTGTTTTTATGGATATGAAGCAAATAATTGGAAGCTACAATTTCCTGGCCTCCCCTGACCCAAGCATAACATTTCCATTATATTATCCACATTCCTGTCAAAGTGAGCTATAGCCCAGAGACAAACTCTCCGTTTAAGTTGCAGAGAAAATCTATACATTTGCTTTTATACTTGCAATTCAAACCCTGAATCTCAATCATCAGCAAAAGGGAAGGGTAGGCTACAGAGAACTTTCTAGAGGCCGGCCCTCCCAAGAGCAAGAGGAAAGGTGAAGTAATTGCACGTGACAAGCAACTGGGACAGGCAGGGCGGCACAGTCACTATCTCCAACCAGAGGCCAAAGCCCACGTCCTGGAGCGTGGCTGGGTCCTGGCCACTCCTCTCCACCAAGGACCTCCAGAACTTCCACCATCTGCTCAACAACACTGAAAATTGCTTCAGAGCAAAATCACAAGAGGAAATACCAAGTGCCGTTTTTGGATCAGCCAACATCCTTCATTGTTTGGTCTACCCACACCACGTGAATTTCTGGATGGCCTTGGAGATCTTCCAGGCACTTGCAGATTGCAAACTGGGGTCCAAACGACGTGGTGGGGGTTGGGGAAGCAGGGCTCACATTTCGGGGGCCTCATGCTCAGCATCTGAGCACCAGGGAGCCTCTGACAGGGCCCCAGGGACCACACGCACAAGGTGTACAACTCTGTGTGGGCAGCCGTCCAAAGCCAGCAGCACCCCCCCACCACAGCAAGCATCCAAGGACAGGGTGTCACCGTTTCTGAAAGGAGGCACCTCTGAATCCCCCAGAACACAGGGCAACTCACCCCCACCTCACAGCCAACGCACACATTTGATCAGAACCCAACGCTTCCCTGCAGGTTAAACAAGCCCATTTCCAGTACGACTTCTAGACGGGAAGGATCTCGCAACATTTAAACCACCTCTGCTGCTGTTTTTTAAACTTCCTTGCAGGTTTCCCACATCCTTCATGAAGTGTGGTGAGCAAAGGTCACAAATCTAAAGCAGGGCTGGCGGATTTAAAATCCCACCACGGGAGCCTTTCTTGCCCCTAGACTATTAAAATACAAGACAAGGGCAACAGTTTCTGTTCCTCTTCTTCGCACGAAAGTCAGCAGGGGCAGTTTCCTCTGGAGGTTTTATAAGAATGGGCTGCTTCCCCACAGTTGGAGAACCCATGAATTTGCCATCCTGTGGAAAAAAAAAATAAACACCAATTTCTCCCAAGTAGCAGAGAATACATGTGGAGAGCTTCCTAAGACTGAACCAAGGACACAAGCCCTTAGGCAGGTGAACAGAGCATATCCTGCTGTTAAAAAGTGTTCCAAAAGCAATAGTACAGTAAGAAGTAACACAAGGAATACTCGAGCAAAAGACTATTCATGTAGAGAATGCAACTATTTACACTAGATGACTAAATGAGGGCCTGCATCAGAACGTTAATCATTACCAGAGAGGGCTACCTTACTGAAAACGGACTCTCTCTTCTTTTCAGTATTTCTTTCACTGGCCACAGCCACCAATGTCTAAATCACTAAAAGAAAGACACAGGCTTCCTAATGTAACTGCCATGTAAAATATGGTATCAGTAGGACCGAATTTTGTTATAAAGTACATTCTGTCCTGTACAGTATGGTCTGAAAGCAGAAAACAGCACTTCATGATGATGTTTTCCAGTGAAGACTTTTGTCATGAAACACCCAATGAAGTGCAAATACTAGACACGTTTACAAATGCTAATTTAATACTTCCCTTCCAGGACATTGTTTGATATAAAAAACTGAATAATTAAAATCAGTTATGTCTATATGTCTGTTAATGTGTTGTCATATGTGGGTTGGAAAGGAATTAACGCAATTTAGCAAATTAAAATGCTCAAAGAACAAAAAAATAACACCCTAAATATCTAAACCTAAGAGTCTTAAGACTCAAGGACAAGGGTCATAACTATGGAAGGATTTAGTTCCTGCTTCTATGAGTGGAATTGCTGGAGGTCCATCCAACAATATGTGGCCGTATAAGCTGATTGTTTGGTCTCCCTTTTTCTAGGCACCTCCGTTCCTGGCTCCACCCTCCGTGTCTTCACCAAACCCTCCAAATTGGCCCATCCCAGAACTACTGGGAGACATAGTCTTTTCCACCAGGAATGCAAGAGTTAGCATCTTACAGAGCGTAGATGGGGCCAGTGCTTGTAAAAGTAGAGATCACTTACTGATGTGTACCAGAAGCCTCTCTGATTCAGATATTCTACCACTGCTGACAAGAGTTCTGTGCCCAACTCCTCATGTTTGGAAAAAATGCTGACTCTGGGTCCCAGTGTGAGATGCGCACGCTTTATATCCCCCAGTCTCCCAAAGAGTCCATTCAGAGTTCCTAGGCAGTCTTCCCGAGCACTGACACCTTTGGTATTTCTCCTCTTAGAAGGAGGTCTTACTTTTCTTTCTTTCTTTTTTTTTTTTAAAGATTTATTTATTTATTTATTTGACAGACAGAGATTACAAGTAGGCAGAGAGGTAGGCAGAGAGAGTGGGGGAAGCAGACTCCCCGCTGAGCAGAGAGCCGGATGCAGGGCTCGATCCCAGGACCCTGAGATCATGACCTGAGCCAAAAGCAGAGGCTTTAACCCACTGAGCAACCGAGGTGCCCCAGGTCTTACTTTTCTTGTCCAAGTTCCTATTAGCCTCTGAGTTGCTCTGACCACTTCCATGGAGAACAAAGACTATTCTGTAAGTAGGAACCTGCAGTGCTGCTCAGGAGCCAGCAGGACTGAGGATGGTAAGCAGGCTGACCCCACTGAGATCATTTCTAGAATGTTCTCCAGCCTAGGGTTGCCAGATTTGCCAATTGTAAATATAGGACATCAAGTTCAATGTGAATTTCGTATAAACAACATTTTTTTTTTTTTTTTTGCATCAGAAGATCTCACATAATATTCGGGCATTACATATACTAAAAAATGCATTCATCATTTATATGAATTTCAAATTTGACAAGACATCCTGTGTTTTATTTGCAAACTCAACATTAGCACCTTAAATAATCGAATACTCAGATTCTCTTCCACAATCAAAAAAGGCAGCTTTTCTACAGAACTAAAATATCATAGCCCAGAATTCTTAAGACTTACCCTCACCTAATCGTGGGACCAAATACTACTCTCACAGAGTCTATGATGTGATAAGAAGCACCCTCAGCTCCCGGACTAGTTTCAAACCAAAGTATACCCTCCTAACATGTCTGTGGGAATAACAGGGGGATTACAAGCAGTCATGAGCTAGGCGTTGATCTATGTCTCAAATTTAGCTTGCAAGAATCACCTCACATTGTTCAATAACTATAAAGATAACTAGACCCTAGAAATTATGATTTAGCAGGTCTGGGTTAGAACTAGGAATCTATGAGTGAGAGAATGAGGGTGTGTTTGCTGAAACCAGCAATTCACATAATTCTCTTTTGGACAGGATTGCTAGATTTACCAGTCCAAATGAAACAAAAGAAAACAAGAATGCCCATGTCAACTGAATTTCCAATACACGGTGAATAATTTTTAGTGTGAGGATGACCCACGCAATATTAGGAAATACTGATTTTAAAAAACCAACCAGATTCAACCGGACATCCTATATTTTATACAGGAGGCATGGGGTTTGGAGAACACTAGTCCATGTTCGTGTGGCAACCCAACAGCATTAGAATCTACTGGGTTGTTGGCATGACGTGAAATCTGCATTTTATCAAGATCCCCAAGTGATTTCCAAATACATTCAAGTTTTCTAACCACAGCCCAAATGGGTGATTCCCAACGTGAAGCCTTGCAGCAGGATGGACTCAGGTGATGAGCAAAGTTGTGAAGTCCGACTGCCGGGGATGGAGGCCAAGCCACTGGAGTCTGATTCCCTGAGGGTGAAGCCTAGGCATTGGTATTTCACCCCAAGATGGCCAGCCACCGGTCAAAGTCATTTTGTATTTGTTTTTGAGCTGATTGAATCAGAGCAGCATGGTGTGGCGCTCAAGAGCCTGTTCTCTAAGCGTGGCCCCGGGGACCGCAGGGGCGCCACCAAGGCGTACATATCACCCCAGACCTACCAAAACACAAAACACTCAAGTGACAGGGCTGACCAAGCAATTTCTGTTTAAAGGGCCTACAGGCAAGGCTGGGGCCCACTCAACTTCGCTAACCACTGAGTTAGAATCAGACTCCCTTTAATCCAAGCTCTGCCATTTCTTTTCCACAATCTTCAACAAGTTCCTCAACCTCTAACCCACTTGGTCCCAGCTACTCCTCTATAAACGCTGGTAAGAGGACCAGGTCCCCGGAACAATATTAAATTAGTTTTGGAGGTCATTTCATACCATATGTGCCAAAAAGTCTCTGCTAAATAAATCTCAACTGAACACCGGAGACAATAAGGGATTTGGGGGTAAGGCAGGAATAGGTGTCTCTACTCGTTCTCAAAGTGTTAGAAGTGTTAGAAGGGTGA